GTGTGTGTGTGTGTGTACACAATCTGCACATGGTCCTTGAAATTAAATATTTGTCTCCCCCCTCACCACTCCAGAAAGGAGCACAAATCTCATGCGCCGTCCTGCCAGTTTATTGCCTTGAAGAAGAAAGTAGAAGAGCTGACTGTGGAGGAATTCTTCAAACTACAGAAGGAGAGGCACAAGTTCATCATTGTACGTTCAACAGAAGACTTTATAACGTTCAATTTATGAGCAGTTGGGTACATTATGTAACTAAATAATTAAGTCTGATAATATAACCACCAAAATATTTCCAATCTTTTTTTCTTATGGAGTTATCTTTATTATATTATCTCTTAAGACTAAAACTTAAGTCTTAAGAGTCTTAAGTTCCTGTGAGATCAAGGGACCTTGGTATTCTGTCTGATCCAGATTTCATTTCCTCCACTTACAGAACAAATCCTGTAACGAGGCCATCACCAGGTTTGAAGAGGCAGCCAAATTGAGAAGAGCAGATATCATCAAGACAGCCATGGGAGAAGAGTGACACTAGAATAGATGCTGATGAATAAGATGGGCGGCGTGTGAGAGATTAATTGTAGCTGAAAATCCGCTGGCTGGTTTCTCCCTTAAGTCATTTCCATGTTCTCCTCATATGCCTTAATGTTTTCTTTTTAAAACTGTATATCTGTCATCTTTTAATGTCTTTGTTTTTATTCATTAAACTTGTTCTTTTTGTTTACTCGGCTTATTTATCTTTGGGGGGGTGGGGGGGTGTATTCTGATGGGAAATGTACTCTTGTAGCACAGAGGTGAGCGAACATATGAGCAAGAGGAAAGTTATAAAGGCTTTTATGACACATTTACCATGAAACAATTAGCTGATGTTTTTATAAACCCAAACAAATAAACTGCTTGTTTAGTTCAGTGCTGCTGGGTTACCAACCTCCTATACGATTTAACGATGTATGAGTTATTATTCTGTTCCTTTTTATTTAGTCCGAGCTCAGCAGACTCCCCACGTCCCCCTGTGTTACTGTCTCCCTCCATGTCATGCGTAAACGTGTGCGCCCCGCGAATAAATTCAAGTCCCTCCCAGACAGAAGCTGCTGCTCATCAGTCAGACTGTTAACATCCTCAGGCAGCTCTGTGACTGGATTCAATCAGGCAAGGACCAGTTGATCTTCATTCTGTAGGTTTTAATTGCAGCTTCCTCAGGAAAACTTAACATTATACTTTTGTAGGTTTTTTTATTTTTATTTCTGCGAATCTCGTAATGAGCGCGCCCCCGCCTGAGAGACTGGATCAACAGTAGAAAGAAAAGAAATCCGCGTCCCGCATGATTCACAGTCACCACCGTTACGCGTGAATTAAACTCTCATCTGCACAGGATGAAGGTAACCTTTGGCTGTCTGGTGGTCACAGCCGGCATCTGCGGTATCCTCAGCTTCGCTTTTTTGGCGACTTCCCTCGGAACCGAGTACTGGTACATCATAGAGATGAATCCCATGAACATGAGCGACTTCGAGGACATGAGCTCCCACTCGGGACTGTGGAGCATCAACGAGGGTAGGCTGCTTTTCCATAAGTGTCTCTCACAGTTGTTGATGTTATAGCGCTCGGGCTGCTTTAATGTGTATATAACTTGGATTCTTTCCCTCTGTTTTTAATTGTGACATCCAGGTGGGAAGATGACTGCAGACTCTATTGACTCATTCACAGCTGACTCCTCCAGATACTCTGACACTGAGCTGCACATGCTGAGTGAGTCTGTTCATCCAGCTTCTGTAAAACTCTGTGCTCATCATAATAACATACTCTGCTAATGAAGTTTCGCTGTCAAGGCAGCCATAACTCCACGGATGCTCCATAACCCATCTGTTTATGTGTGTGTGTGTGTGTGTTTTTATATGCAGACATGCACAGTGCCATAGTGGTGGTGCTTCCCTTCAGCCTGGTCCTGCTGCTGTTCGGTGGTATCTGTGGGTTGGTCAGCTCCCTAGCTCGTAACCCTGTCCTCCTCACCGGCACAGCCTCCTACTTCTTCATCTGCAGTAAGTTGAGGTTCAGCTCCTTCGCTCAGATGTGCTCTCACTGTATCCATCCTCAGCTTGTAGAGGAGGGAAAAGATCAGATCTGGGAGAGAAGCTGTTTCACCTCAGCGTGTGCTTGTGGGTGACATCGGTAACTTTAGCAGGGAATTGCTGTGTGTGAAAACTGAAAACACACAGCTATTCAGCACAGATCCATTAAAGAAAAAAGCACAATGCCCAGTAACACTCGTGCACCAAGACGAATCAGTGCTACCAGTGTATCTATTACTATTGGCAATACTTCAAAGACAAGGAGTAGGGAGTTCCCATCCAAAATATGGACAGTGCAGTCTCACAACTACTGTGCTTGTGTTTTCTATCCAGCAGACAATGCCTCTTTTATCACACTTAAGATTCAATGGTTGCTGAAACATTGGAATTACACATTATTATTGCCACGAAGCTGTAGGAGATGTAACAAAATATATCACAGTGCAAGAGAGAAGTTTTTCATCAGCGCAATCTGCTTTGGGTCATTGACCTCAGTGTTAAATAAAGCAGGAGCCATTAGGTGGTGGTACAAAGGAGAGAACAGTCAATTGTCCCGACACATGCTGTTCATGATCATTTCACTCAAATGGCTGTGTGCGGTGAGGAACAGGATACATCAGAGCTGCGCACTCTATCTCACCTCTTTTTCATTATAAAAGGCATTTTCCCCCCCACATACATTTAGTGGAAAATTACCCCCACTTAAAAATATAAATAAACTGAAAATTAGTTTTAGTTTGGTCATGCTAAACATACAGAATATGCTAATTACAACACAGTTATTTAATAGACAGTGACATACAAATAATAGCCAAATCCCTCTGTAGGTATTTAATTTGATGTTGGTAGTTGTTCCAATGGAAAACACAGAAACAGAATGATGAAAAATAAGATTTACCATTTATACGTCCATCTGGAGTGTGGCAGTAAAGCGGGGCCATGTGGTGCATCTGAGCGGGTGAGTGCGCTTTATGTTCAGGGCTGAAACTGACCTCAGTTATGGTTATTGACCTCATGTGGCCAAAGGGTCTGACTTTTATTACCACCTAAGACTGATTGGCTGTTTGATTTGGCCATATTGGCTAAGTATGCATGAACAGGCAGGTGTGTGAATATTTGTGTCTGCGGCGTCTAGCTGCTCTTGCCTCTCTTACATCAGAAGTGCCTCCTCCTCTGTGGGATAGTTTATGAGAGCTTTTATTGGCCTGTGGGGAGGCACAACAGTGAGGTAAAATTGCCTTGGAAACAACTGCATCGCAAATTTGCGTCTCTAATGTTCTGTATTTCATTTCTTACCGTCTATAATTTCACATTGTTTGTGCGAGACAGCTGGGGACAACACTTGTTAAGACCTCCTGAAACCTGCACATGCTGGATCATCAAGTTGGTGCGTCGGATATATGTAGGATATAAAATATATCCACTAAACAGATAAAGGATATACTGTATTTCTTTTAGAAGTTGTGCGTAAAAGAAAATAGCTGGTGATATAATTTATTGATGCATATCACAATATGGCAAAATTAAACATTAAATGGTAAAAACAATGTTCAGTGCAGTAAACACTGTTAACAGCTGTTAATTTATAATTACCTTAATTTAATATAATATGTTTGGAATCACTACTTTCTTGCAATAGATGTTTTTATTACAATACAATACACGAGAACAACAGCTGGTAGCTTTTTGGTTGTTGTTGTTTTTTTTTGTTAAAAAAACAATTGTGTTCATGTTTCAACTAAAACTACACACACATGCTTGTTTTAACAGTTCATATAGATCTATCTCTTTCTCCTACTATATCCCTGCTTCCTACACTACCACAAGCTACCACACACCAGACCTGATAATTATTTGGCTATCAAATAAATCATGTAAATTTAGGTAATTGGGATAGTTACATTACCGTTAACCATGTTAAAGCTATTCTGTTAATCTGAGTATTTACAGTAATCAAGTTATTCATTTACACATCAACATAGCACATAGCCTGAGCTTCTGGCAGAGCTCTTCCCTCTGGATCCCTTGGGTGCTCTCCTGCCAGCGCCTTATGACCTCCATAAAGAGGACCTTGTGATGGATAAACACTTACTTAAAAAGACTCTTTATAGTCTCCCTTTAATAAGCAGCACATGGCAATGTGTGGAAAGGAATAAAGGCTTGAATTAGATTGGAGCTGTCTTGTGAACTTGTTGACTGTCCGTTTCTGGCTAAGCAAGGCTTTCTTTCTTTTGGTGTCTTTGTTGCTGCGATAAAATTAGGATTTTTGTTTGATTTAGTTATGTTATGAAGCAATTATTTGTTAACGTTTAATACCTGAGCATTTTCGGACTGCATCCATAGTCAGTGGGCATTAGTAAGCCTCCAACACAAATATGAATTTGTATAATAACATCAAAAATGCATGTGTGT